AGACCTTTTTACTCCAAACACACAGAAACAAAAACAATACACACAGTTTTGAAACCACAGCACACTACTTTGCCAGAGATTCAGCTTTTGTCCGTCACAGAGGTCCAAATGGCCACCACCACCCTTTTATAGCCTGTGGGGTGTGGTCCAGTGACTCAGCTTAATCTCTGGCACGTCTCTTTTTCTGCTGCGCATGCTTGTCGCTTCTACGCTGGCGTGGATCCAGTCACAACTTTTCTTCTTCATTATCCGACACACCTGGCTCCTGGCCAATCTGAGAAACACAGGGCTCCGGGCCAATCTCAGAACCACCTGGCTCCTGGTCAATCTCTTCTCCGTCGGAAGACACCTGAGGCCTTGCCAAAGAGGAGGGTCCTGGAGAGGGAGGCCTGGCCCTCTCCTCTCCTTCATGTTCGGAGCCTTTTTCCTCCGATAAGAGGGGCTCACAAGACGGAGCCACAACACTGGGTGGGCATGGCCAGCTCTACATCGTTCGTGTCAAGGGTGCCTGTGGGGGCCTGGGCAGGAGTGGGACAGATCTGAGGGTCTCTGGCAGAAGGGGGTGGGACCGGGGCAAGCGCCAAGGCGTGGTCCATTTCTTCATTCCTCACAAAGGGTGACCCCTCCCCAGCATGCACCCAGGGGGCGGGGCCGACACGGCAGGGGCTGGTTCCTCGCTGTTTCCAGACGGCCTTGTGGAGCTAAGACTGAATGCATTTCAGCATAGATGGCCACCACAAAATTGTACATTGGCTCCCGGCCGGCCTGGGCCAGGGCCAAGGCAGCGGGGGCCGTTCCCTCACTGTTTCTAGGATGGCTTCGCGGGCCACATGAAACCACGTCGCGGGCCGCATCCGGCCCCCGGGCCTTGGGTTTGACATGTCTGATCTAAACTCTTATGCACATTCCTCACCCCCCCCAACATCATCTAACTCTAAGAGTAAAACATAAGAAGGAAAATGGTTGCAACTCCATATGTTGTCAAATATCCGATGTTAGCAGCGTTGACAATTATTATCAGCATTCATGAAATTAGTGGCGTACAATACTCTTTTTTTAAAAAAAGAAAAAAATCTGAAATGATATTTCACTGCTCCCATTTATTACTCCCCTTAAAGATAGAAGCCGTTGATGTTGGCAGAATCTATAAGATCCGAATTGGCCACGATGGTGCGGGCTTTGCAGACGGATGGTTCCTGGAAAAAGTCGTCATTAAAAAAACGGGGACAAAGACCAGCGGGGTAGGAAAAAAGAAGAAAAAGAAGAAAAAGGTATCCGCAGAAGAGAAAGGAGAAGAGGAGACGCACCAGACAGATGCTTTGCAGGTTTATAATTTTGTAGCCCACCGTTGGCTGGCGAGTGACGAAGAGGACAAGGAACTGGTTGTGGAATTGACACCAGAAGAGGCATGTGAGCTTAAAGGTGAATGAGGAACCATCATTGTCTTTACTTTTGTGACCCTGTTCTAGCATAACCAGCTTTACGGAGGTGTCCTTTAACCTGTTACTGTTCGGTTAAGAGAACTGAAATCGAATGCATTTGGAAAGGACCGTGCTAGGGAACGTTCCTTTAGGGTCGTGGTGCAAAATGTATGGCCTGCCTGGTATCACTTTTTGTG